CAGGGATGGATATGGGAAGGGGGTCGTGCATAGGACAGGGATGGATATAGAAGGGGATCTGTGCATGGAGCAGGGATGGATATGGGAAGGGAGCTGTGCATGCCATGCAGAGTGAAGAAAAGCAGCCGAGGGGTAGAGGGGGTGAAGCCAGAGAAATGCTGATTAGTGGTGTGGGGTCCTAGCAGACATGCAGTCGAGAATGTGGCTAGCAGGTTTAGAGCATTAGAGCATTTCTCAGAAGAATGGAGAAAATAGTGTGGGCCTTTTTAAGGTGAAAAGCAATGATTGACAGTGGCCATGCACCGGTATCCTACGAATACCTCCTCTGGTGTCAGCCAATTGTTTCAAGTACATCCCTCCTCCCCCAAAAGAATAAAAGACTGGGTGGACTGTTCGTGGCTTTCTCTTTTACTGGGCAGGGAGTGGGGTCCCTCTGCACAGCCCTCAGGCCTTCCCCTCATCGGCTCTGCAGCTCAGCACTGACAGACCAACGTCAACGTCACATTGACAAAGCAGCCAGAATTCCTTGGTAGCATGGGGTTTCTTCAAAAATATCAATGGATTGTCAAATGTTTTACTTCACGATTATTAGAATTGAAACCATTAGGTTGAGCATCTAAAATGGCCAATACATTTAAACTAATTTTGATAAACAAAACGACACCTTCAAATGGTTTCAAATCTGCTTGGGGAGCAGAAGACATAATAAACAGCTCTCCCCTCCCCACCAACCCTCATTTCCTTCTACACATATAAACATCCTGTAGACTTGGAAGATAGCTAAGCTTCTAGATCCAATTAAGTAAAATCATTCTCTTTTTTTTTTCTTCCAAGAATGTCATCTCAGTAAGATAAGCAATATCCCATTCCCTACTCACTCACTCACTCCCTACTCACTCACTCACTACTCACCACTCACTCACCACTCACTCACTCAACTCACTCACTACTCACCACTCACTCACTCAACTCACTCACTACTCACTCACTCACTCACTCACTCAACTCACTCACTACTCACCACTCACTCACTCAACTCACTCCTCACCACTCACTCACTCAACTCACTCACTACTCACCACTCACTCACTCAACTCACTCACTACTCACTCACTCACCACTCACTAACTCAACTCACTCACTACTCACCACTCACTCACTCAACTCACTCACTACTCACCACTCACTCACTCA